CTTAATTCTATTAAGTTTTCTGTGAAGACTTTACACGTAAATTAAGAATACAACAATTTTTATGAATTGAAACTGTAACATAGAAGCACTGGTTGCAAAAGTGGTGTAAGTAATTTTTATAATAAATAATTAATTAAGTATTAAGTGCATTAACTGATTGGATATGCTAGAGACAGATTATTTTTAACAAATAAATTGAATTTATTTATTATTAATTTGTTGAATTTCTCCATAATATTTGATTAATTCAAAACTTCAGTTTTTTACTTACACCATTTTAGTATTCAATGGCTCATGTAGTGTACTAAAGAAAAATCCTTGTATTTAAGTGAATTTTCCTGATAAGTTTTTAAAGAGATAAATTATGATTTGTTGAAGAATTTCTTTAAATGATTGTTATGCAATGATCAAAGATCAACAATACCTCCGAGTGAGGTTGTCACCTACCTCAGCATTAAGATTCGAAAAAAGTTCGAAGTGATAGCTTATTTGGACTATTTGAAAAGTAGAGTGACCATAGCCCTTAACAGATTCAGTTGTATAGAGGGCACCTTTTGGGGTCTCAGATGCCTAGAAACTGTGAGCATTTATAAAGGTTTTATTTTGAGTAGCCCCTGCCTGGAGTCAAAATGGCTCTGCTTCAAGTCACCAGATCGTACAGGACGGTGTCCATAGTATCTCCAAGTGAAAATAGAAGAAAATCGTAGGAGTTGGAAAAGGATTATCTGGGAGGATACAGTAGAAGAGTGGAACTGGGGGTGGTTGACAACTCCAAAAGGAGCAACCCTGAGAAAGTATTTTCCCACCATCGCATCGTGCCTAGAAGCAACTTGGGTCCTCCCGGACTACTACACCTCTCTCCCTTTCTGAATATCATCATTTTAAACTCTTCCCGATTAAATGTAAATTCCATTAATCACAATAGTTTTATAAATCTATAATCATAAGTTGAAGTCTATCTGCCATAAAAGCAATGAAGGCTTAAGTACACACTATCCTAATGATATGACATTCACTCCTGCAACACAATCCTCTATATCATTAATGTACCCACTGAAAAGAAATATACTAACATTAAATTGGTTATTTGTGAAATGACAAATGTGCTATTTTTAAGATACAAATGTATGGATAAACAATCAATCTTTACATTAGTTATGTAATGTGTTTTCTGTTACTAAAAGATGCTTCTGCGAATAATGCACCCTGAACAGCTCTCAACTTAAAAGTGGTATAAATGTGTCATTTTTTAAAATAACCTATTCAATTATTCCCTAATAATAATAACATATTATTATGTGATATACAATTTTAATGTTTACAATAATATACATTATTCCCATACTGTATCCCAAATAATATTTCAAGGAGTTCTGTCAATCCTTATTGACTGCACTGCTTGTTTAAGGTTTAAGCTCGTTATTATTTTAACAATTTTGATTGATACTCCTGTTACAATTTGTAATATAATGCCTAGTAGTGAACTATATGTTTAGTTCTATAATAATTGCAGATAGCAAAATATATCAAACAAAGTATAACATGTGCCTTATTTTCTTTCTTCTGCAAATTTAAGATAATTATAATAAGTAAGATTTTGATAGAATAATATTTCCTAAATGCTGCCTATATTCTTTAACTAGTTATTGGATATTAATGAGTAAGCCAATAATTTAACTATTGGGTTTTCAAACTTGATGCCCATGTAATTCATTGTGTCATTCTTATCCTCTACTTTATGAACAGGGAATATGATGGATAAATAAAAGCTATTAGGTGTTTCTCCCATTTCAAAGTCTTTATTAATAGAATTGTGTAGTTGTTTTAAGTAAAACATTGCTGTTTTTTTATTTTCAATACATTTTAACATTATTAAACTATATATTATTTCATTTATATCTTTTAACAACTGACAACAAAGAAACTGAACAAAAGCATGAACAAAATCATTTCTGACACCAGAAATGAAATAGCAACTAACAGTTGAAGATTAAATGCAAATTAAATTAATGACTGGAAAATGATGATGGTGGGAGAATGGTAGGATTTTAAATAAAATATGTATGTAGAGGAACTAGGAACTGGATACTGTCAAAAATTAAGTTGAAGTGCAGGATGGTGGGTAGTCGCGGGAATTTCAAAAAGTAGGGGAAAGGAGAAGAGTAGTGGGGGCAACAACTACTAGGCGGGTAATCTAACCTAACCAGAAACTATCATTGAGGATAAGCGCCCCCACCCCAGCCCAAAAAGCTGCGGGCATGATGTAAACTATTACCCTAATATCTAATTGTCTTTCAAAAAAGGGTCCAATTTCGCGTTTTTCCTCAAGACCAAATCCAAACAATCAGTTCTGGTTTATAGAAGAACTTATAGCGTCCCCCTTTCTATCTTTCTTTGTGCAGAGAGAATAATTCACTCAATAATAAAATTTCCTATTTATTTATGATATAGTCCAACTTCCGCAAAAATAAAGGAAATAAAAATTAATTTTTCAATTAGTGATATATGAGTTTTACTATACAACCCAGCAGCTATTCATTATATATAGTTCAGATTAGGTATATATTATTTTAGTTTATAAAACAGGTATTAATATGACCCATTTCCTGGGAAGTATATAAAAGAAATTAAGCCAAATGCTGATTCTCAGTGACCAAAAAACTAACTAAAGTCAAAGTCGTCAATCCGCCATGTTTGGACGCCATTTTGGGGCAGTGCGTTCACTTTTTTTTGTGGGAACATTGGCTTTTTTTTAATAAATAGTCACAAGGAACACAACGATATGTAATTTATAGGGATGTGGGGGGGGGAGGGGGGTGCACGGTAAGGGGGTCTGGCCCACAGACTATAAGTATCGTTATCGTGAACATATTTGAATCTGAGTTTTCATCGGAAATAGACGTTTTGAAGTCCCCTGAGTCCAAATAACTTGGTCTGTGTGTGTGTATGTGTGTGTGTGTTTCAACTGTCTAGCTCAAAAACGAAAAGTCATTTGGAACTGATATTGCATATTTAAGATTTTTATATGCTAGGGATGTTACAGCAACTTTGTCGTCAAAATCGGCTAACCGGAAGTGGCACTTTATATCTTGTACTAAACACTTTCTTACGATTATCTCGAAAACCGCTCTAAAAATTTGATTAAATTCATCATATCAGTGTAAAATTAAGCAGTTTTAAATAAGATGTGGTTATTATTCTGTTTGATGTTCTCTAACAGGGCTACAAAATGACTAATTTTCAATATTAGCTTCCTCTAAAGTACCTTTAATTTTTTTTTATTTGAAACAATTTCACATTAATTTCTAATATGAAAAATGATTGAATATAACATGTGAAAGAATTTGATAAATAACTAAAGGAGAAATAAGAGATCGTGACGGAGAATAGTTGTAATTGAGGAATCAAAGGAATACGAGCGCACTCAAGCTCGCCGGAAAAATTAGAATACGCTTCCATACGTATCATGAGATTAATATAATTCAGACACCGACAATATTAAATAAATATACATATGTGGTTTTCATAAATGTTATTTTTGGAAATATTATTTAATATTTAATTGTATAGATTACAGCGAAAAACATATTAAAATTTGTATATATGAGGGTATTTATACAAATAAAAATACCCACAATGAAATATAAATAAATATAGAGTCTATAATTTTTACTTTCACTTCGCTTTGTCTGAAAATACTTATTTCTGCTAAGAAGAGGGTGGTAAGTGAAAGTTGTGTGATGCGCGCACCGCACCGGATTTTTTACCTTTCTAATCGCCTTGAGGTGGCCATCAACTGTGGATTTGCTGATGTGAAGTTTCCCAGCAAATTCTCGAACAGTTGTTCTGGGGTATTCTTCCACCAAAGTCCGCATAACCTGGTCATCAAGAGAGGAAGTCCTTCCAAAACATTTTTGACTTCAAGACTGAAGTCTCACTCCCGAAATTTTTTGAACCGCCGTTGTAAAGTGTACTCATCATCGCCCCAGACCTGATTGATGTTTCTGGCCACCTGGGCCCCATTCCGGCCGAGTTTAAACTCGTAAAATAAAATTATACGAAAATCAAGCGTTGACATTTTAGTAAACACTGAATTATTTCTAAGCAGCGAAATGTTGCAGAGGTAAACAAACATTATCGTTTGGAAGAGAATTAATAAGTGTTGACATTGATATAAATGAATAATCCAGTAAACGTAAACAGTTTGTTATATAGAGGGGTAAGTGAAAGAAAACTCAAAATCTCCTGCGTTATTTTCCGGACAATCCAATAATGTACATTTTTTATATTTTATTTTTAATACATAATTTAACATTCCTATTTTACTATAATATGTCGTTTTAAAATATGTAATAAATAATGCAATATACGAACGATCCAATGTTTACAATACAAACAAATTAAGTAATCTCTAAAAAATATATGTCTTAATTCCAAAAAGATTGAATACTAAATCGATTTAGTATTTAATCCTTTAACAAAGTTTTGATATATTGCATTATTTGGAGAAGAAAGACCAACTATGGGGTCTCAGATATATTGATAACCTAGAAAGCTTAAGCTTAAACTTTTATAAAAGGTTATTCTCGCTGCGTAAAAATTGTCCATTCTGGTTAATGAGATTTAAATTACTTCATTGCTCAGTTGCGGTACTAAAATTGGCGCTGTCTTGGGTGTTAACAATTAAAAAAATAGAAAATGATAGATTTCTTCAATTTGTTTTAAACCCAAACGTCTTATGTGAAACACAGACATTTACGAGGAAAACTAGAAGAAATATAAAAAAAAAAGTAAAAATCTGGAAATGTACAGACATTTTTGGAGGAGAATCGCTAGATACCATGTCTAAACTGCTAATATTTTTTATTTCAATAATGGTAATTTATAGTTTTGCTATCAGATTTAAAGATGTAATAACCTTTAGCATACTTCACTAAATAATATTTTCCTATACCCTAGTTCCTATCAAATTTTAGGAAAAATAGATGTCAACCATTTACTTCATCATCTCTTTCTGTCGTCGTTCACTCCATGATGAACCATATTTTGGAGGCTCAGGTTTCCATCTGACATTAGCTTTGTCAAAGATAACTTCTAAGTTCAGAGACTCTGAAATAAACATAAAGTGATTGAGTATTGAATGAAGATTTCATGCATGTTTAACAAAAATAAACTAAGCCTTCAATTTTAATTTCATTGTTTACATTAAATTAAACAATCGTAACACCGATTGACTTAAATTAAAGAGTATATATACTTTTTAAAAATTAAAATTGTAAAAAAAAAACAAATTTAATTTATTCTCTTGCAGAATTAACACATTTACTTAATTTCTTTAGTTTAGCGAAGACATAAAATTAACATCAAAGTACTCGTTTAAATGAATTAGCATTCCAGGATATAAAATTCACTGGTGGTCATAAAAAACCGATGCACCTTAAATTTTGTTATTTCTTTTCCAACTGAAAAAAAAAAAATCAATTTCTTTTTACCTCAATATTGTGACACATTTTGTTTGTTGGAGGCCACAAATAGATTTTAAAACATCAGTAAGGTAAGTTTCTATTATCTTGTGTTATCTCCCCTTGCTTGAATGACGGCCTTTACTTACGTAGGCATACTGCGAATAAGGTTGGTTACCTGATCTTGAATCTGATACTATTTACTTACCTGGAGGTCACATAGATGGTTCTGTTGTCCACGGATGTACTTTCTGGTCCCATGCTTAATAGGATTAGAGTTCAGGCAGAGAGTTGGCCACTGCAAAGTGCGGCCACTAATCTGGTCTAAGTAGTCTCGTACAACATTTGTTATGTTCGGCTGAGGATCAAGCTGTCTAAAAATAAAACGGAGAGCGATTAACGGACCAAAAGGTACCATATATTTTTCGTTGTCGGTGATGCACGAGTCGAACTTCGGAACACATGGAGTTCTGTTCTTGACTAACATCTTCCACCCAAACCACCACAGGCCCTCCTATCTGTACTCTTCCTGCTGTGTTGCTATGGTCTTCTCCACACTCGAACTCCTCCGTCTGCACCATAAAGGCTATACTTGACTCATCAGAAAAGAGAACAGAGACCAAATCATCTTCTGTAGACAGCGTGTTCAAGACAAATGTAGAGGCGAGCTGCTCAACGATGTTAGTGTGCAAATTGAGTTCAGCAAACCTTCTCTGTACTGTTTACGCTCTGAAATTCACACCACGAGTAATTCTCAGTCGTTAGGGATTCTAAACTGAGGTCGCTCATGCATCGCCTGATCACGGCCTCCTAGCGTAGCTTCCTGTCTCCCGGTAGCTCGGGACTGCCCTCTGAACCGTTGTTTCAGGCAGCCCGTAGATCCAGGTCACATATCACTGACTTCCGCCGTTCTCAATAAACACAGTAATCTAAGCGACTGCCACGGCATCCAAAACCATTTTACACTCTTAAAAATGATTGTTTCATATGAAATATTGTTTTATAGAAAAAAATCTGGTTTGTCCACGCACACGACTTTCCTATCTATTTCAGAAAGATATACATTTAAAGGTTTTTTAATCTTTAATATACCCATTAAGAAACAAACAAAAAAATTTAATTACATTTATTTTCCTAGATATTGATCAAAGAAATGGTTTGAGTACGATTTCTTTGATAAACTAAAGCAATGTAAACCGGCTTATGGAAGATCAACATAAAAAAAAATCAATACAATAATATTGCTAAGCAAAAACTTCTGGCCAAGCCAAATTTTGTCAAACAATAATTTCTGTAAAAAGTAGAGGAAAAAGTGAAACTTGTGTGATGCGGGCACCAGATTTTTTACTTTCATTTACTTCTCTTTTTTGTCTCTCTTTCACCCCTTTCTGGCACTGAGATTTTAATTCATAATCTTACACACGAAATTTAATAGCTGTAACTTTGTTAATAGTTGTCCGAAATGAACGACTTTTAATAGTTTTGTAGGAAATTTCACTTGTGTTTTTCGGACTCAGGGGCTTTGAAAAGTACAGATCCGTCGAAAACCGCACAACAAAAATACTATTCTTACCTAGTATAGGTAGGAAAGTAATAAATTAAAACATGTATAGAAAATAGAAACGCTGTATCATCGCAAATACTGCCTCGATTCCGATAAATTTTATTTTGTTTGTAGGTATTGTAATTGTCTTTCAAAAGTTTTTTTTTTTTTATAAATTTTACCATAGAATATGTACTTGGCGAGTTAGACACAAACGTATTTTTCTTTTCTTTATAGCTGTTATATCGGCTGTTGGATGGTGGAAAAATATTGCGAGTTTGAGTGGTTGGGGATGGGAAAAAGTTTCAAAAATCAGCTATTAAAAGGAAAAATAAATATAGGAAAAAATCATCCTCTAAGACGAATTATCTAATATCATATAAAAACAATTATCATCGTGACTAGTACCAGGGGATCCTGCGGGGGGAGGGAGAGAGGTAGGATCGGCGAGGGGGCGCCCGTCTCTCCCCTGGTTGGTGAGGAAAAGTTTCAAAAATCGGCTATTAAAAGAAAAAATAAATATAGAAAAAATCATCCTCTAAGACGAATTATCTAATATCATATAAAAGCAATTATCATCGTGACTAGTACCAGGGGATCCTGTGGGGGGAGGGAGAGAGGGAGGATCGGCGAAGGGGCGCCCCTCTCTCCCCTGGTTGGTGGAGCAAAGTTTCAAAAATCAGCTATTTAAAGAAAAAATAAATATAGGAAAATACCATCCTCTAAGACGAATTATCTAATATCATATAAAAACAATTATCATCGTGACTAGTACCAGGGGATCCTGCGCGGGAGGGAGAGAAAGAGGATCGGCGAGGGGCCGCCCCTCTCTCCCCTGGTTGGTGGGGAAAAGTTTCAAAAATCAGCTATTTAAAGAAAAAATAAATATAGGAAAAAATCATCCTCTAAGACGAATTTTCTAATACCATATAAAAGCAATTATCATCGTGACTAGTACCAGGGGATCCTGTGGGGGGAGGGAGAGAGGGAGGATCGGCGAAGGGGCGCCCCTCTTTCCCCTGGTTGGTGGAGCAAAGAATCAAAAATCAGCTATTTAAAGAAAAAATAAATATAGGAAAATACCATCCTCTAAGACGAATTATCTAATATCATATAAAAACAATTATCATCGTGACTAGTACCAGGGGATCCTGCGAGGGAGGGAGAGAGAGAGGATCGGCGAGGGGCCGCCCCTCTCTCCCCTGGTTGGTGGGGAAAAGTTTCAAAAATCAGCTATTTAAAGAAAAAATAAATATAGGTAAAAATCATCCTCTAAGACGAATTTTCTAATACCATATAACAGCAATTATCATCGTGACTAGTACCAGGGAGGGAGAGAGGGAGGATCGTCGAGGGGCCGCCCCTCTCTCCCCTGGTTGGTGGGGAAAAGTTTCAAAAATCGGCTATTAAAAGAAAAAATAAATATAGGAAAAAATCATCCTCTAAGACGAATTATCTAATATCATATAAAAACAATTATCATCGTGACTAGTACCAGGGGATCCTGTGGGGGGAGGGAGAGAGAGGATCGGCGAGGGGCCGCCCCTCTCTCCTCTGGTTGGTGGGTAAAAGTTTCAAAAATCAGCTATTTAAAGAAAAAATAAATATAAAAAAAAAATCATCCTCTAAGACGAATTATCTAATATCATATAAAAAAAATTATTATCGTTACCAGCACAAGTGATTTCTGCCAGAGGGCACGCCGCGCCCTCCTCTGGATGTTGAAAAAATAATTCAATTAAAAAATTTCAAAAACAGCTATTTAATGAAAAGAGAAATACATCGAAAATAATTCTCCAAGACGAATTTTTTACTTTTGGAAAAAGTTCCAAAAAACATTTGTTTAATGAAAAATGAAATATAGACAAAAGTCATCCTCATAGACGATTTTTTAATATAATATTAAACAAAATTATTATTAAAAGTTGGCTCGTAAGGTGAAGTGATGTAGTTTTGGGGCCGCCCTGAGATGCGAAGGCTTGTGCTCCTTTCGCAATTAGTTCCTACTGACTCCGAACTGATTCTCGCAGGTGAAATACATGATGCAGGAAAATTAATTTAAAAAAAAATGATGGAGTGCTAGCAATGGGTAGTTTCTCTTCATGTTATACATTTCAAGTTACTTATTTCATATTTACTAGTTGTATTTATCATTATACAGTTGTAAATTGCAATATTAAAAAAAATTAATTAAAAAAATAGAAAATGAACTTTATTTATTAAAAAGAGAGGAGGGAAAGAAGAAAACAATTTTTGTGAGAGGAGGGTGGCATGCACCGTTTGCCTAGGGAGAGGGAAGAGGTCTTGCCGAACAATCATAGCATCAGGAAGAAATTGTTGATCATAGATTTAATTAATCTAGGAAGTGTTAGTTGAAGGTGCGATCAAAACGTCAAAACCACGGTAAATTTATTTCTTTTTAATGTGACCTACGTTTCATAATGTTTTATAATCCATTTTCAAGGTAAACACAAAACCAACAGAGTATTCGTCGCTTGTAATTGATGGGAAAATTTCGTTTAATAGGCCAGATTATACATTTTATTGAATCAGGATTAATCTTACCTTTTTCTGTGTTGCATTTTAGACAAGCTCCACGTGTTAGAGTACAACCACACAATCCGCAGACAGATATGCAAGAAACTGCATCATTTTTATTCAGATTGCCAAATCTAGGAAAAATTATAAATTTAGAAAGGAATATTGCTACTTATTTATAATTTGTTTTCCCTAGACTGTTTTTTTTTAATTTTTATAAAATTATTATAAAATACATTGAAAATTTATACCAATAATATCGTAATTCATCGGAAATTTTGTAAATGGTGCTTTATAAAGTAAGTCATGCTTTTTTTTTCAATAGGAAGCGGTAACTAAAGAAATATTATTTGCTAATTTAAGTAATTAACAATTACTTCACTTTGTAAATTGTACAAAATTTACTTCAAATTAATATTGATTTTCTCTTTGTTAAACCATTTACCCAATTAACTAGGTTTTTAATTGAACTATTTACTAGAAACAGTATAAAATGTTTATTCTGCCAACTAAAAATATTCTCACCAACTGCCTACGGTATCAATTAAACAGTTTTATAGTTTTTAGAGTTATAACAAAAAATATTTTTTAGCAATGTGGCAGGTTTTCCATTACTCGGCCCACTGTGCGGCGTCGCTAGGCACGAGGATGCTAAAACGAGCAACGCTCCAAAACACTCGGTCATCGCGACCTACCTACAACTATTACTGCAAACAATTAAAGCTGAAATCAGCCACCTATAGATCCCAATCCTTAATTCCTACCTGTCCCCCATTCTGCACGTCCCAATTTCCTTTGTAATATCAATAAAAAGAAAATTTTAAAATTCCATCAAAGTTCTCTATCATCCCCTAGAGATCAAGCGTCTGATGCAAGGAGAGAATCAGGATGGACAGGAATATGGGGAGGTAAAAGTATTTATACTTTATTCGGCCTTCATCTTCTTGTTAGCCTTCTACGTCCTATGTGACTATTACTGATGTTACTTGTTGATTGTAATTGCCTAATAATGTATTAAGCCTTTTATATTCTCGTGAAATAAAACAATATTATATCTATTATCTTTTAAACTAACGTTGATGTAACATCTCACATAGATACATGTTAACTATATAAATGAGAGGGGCAATAATATTTTTTTTAGGAGGAAAGGAGAGGGCATGCGCCATCGGCCTTGGGTGGATCGGCATCCCTGTTTGAACTCAATAAGAGATTCGAACCCCTTGATCTAAGAAGATTTCCGATAGATAAACACTGTGTAAAAATAGAAAAAGGAAAAATAGAGATATTCCAAAAAGTAATAGGATCTCACGAAAAATGAAAAAGTAAACTAATGGTTCATCGACGAATACCAAAAGATAATGTATAGAAAAATAAAAATAATTCATCTTGGCAATAAAGGCAAGGAATCTCGGAATAAGTCGAAGGTAGCACAGAAAGCTTCTAATAAAACACTTTTAACATCAATTAAAGTAAGTAGACATTCCTTTTCAACGAGAAGCCGAAAAAACTTATGAATTCTGCAAAAAAAAGTAATCGGTTTCAAAGGCAGAAACACTCAGATGAAAGACAAGAATGGAAAAGTAACAGCAGTTAAAGGAAGATTATTGGGATAAGACTGGACGATTTCGAATATTAACCCAAAACAAACTGCCAATTGGACGAAAAAGTGGATCTGGACCATGTTGTTCTACACAGGATGTAGTAGGTAAACCCGATTTACTTGATGTGTCGATGGCTATCGATTGATTCCTCCATGAATTGACAGCCTAATAGGTGAGTTGTTTAAAGCTGGCTTGGGCCACCTAGTTATGGCAGTGCACCAACGTACTTACTTTATAGCATCCTCACCATCCTGAATGTGCTCGTCTGTCATTATCCCAGTAGTTTCAGCTTTCTCCGGCAATGTTGATTCTTCCTATGAAATAATTGTTTAGCATTCAATTATTATCCTGCGGTCTCCGATAATATGATCGGATTAATAATAGCGAGATGAAATGGAAAATAAACAAGACGATTATTAGACCTGGAGCCAGGGCCGAAAAAGCCGAAGTATTTTAAGCAAATTTTCAACCTAACAGGCTGATGGTAGTCCTTTTAGGTATTACGAAGATGCTCGTCTGCCAGGTAAAACAGGTCGATTTAGGATTTTAGGGGCAGTTTCAGCAAATTTTCTCTTCGTCGCGTTAAGATACAATTGTTAATAATAGGTCATTAGAAAGATGATGATGTGCTGAACATTTCCCTTGTTTACAATATGCAGGTCCAAATTTTAGTTTATGTAATTTTTTAATCCACAGGCGCGTTTTGCGAGTCAACCAATTGAAGTGTTTTTATATATTTATTAAAATATCTCAAACTAAAAATCGTACTTCCAAAAATTTTATCTTAACGAGACGCCGTGTTAGAAAGGCAAAAAAAAAAAAAATATATAGTGTCGAAACCAACTGGTAACGAGTTTTATTGAAGATATGGATTAAAATATTTTAGAAACTAAAATTCGGACCTGCATATGTAGCCAAGAGAAACGTTCAGTATTTCACTCTGTTTCTATTGACCTATTATCTAAAATAGTATCTTAACGCGACAAAGAGAAAATTTGCTGAAAATGACCCAAAATTATGAACTTTTTGATGGGTTCAAATACTCCAAAAACCTTTAATCGACTTGTCTAACCTGGCAGGCGAGAATTTGCGTAATACCCAAAGGGAGTACTATTAGCCTGTTAGTATAAAAATTAGTGTTGCCCAAGAAGATGCAATGGTCCAATGTAAGACCAAGAAGAGACCGAGGCGGTCTTGGTCTTGCGTAGGAGTCTAACAAGGGTCTTGCAGTTACCTATCAGCTTATTGCTATTTATTAAATATGTTACTTTAAATCTTAGAAAAACGCTAAAAAATAAGTACATTTAGATGTTTTATTGACATGAACATAGTATAGTCCAACTAAATCAATAAAATTAAGAATTGAGAAAGATAGTGATAACACTCCTCCATTCCTCCGAGTGTATGGAAGAGTTGTAGAGTAAAGGCAATTTATATATTGTTACCAATGATTTTAATGAAAAATCAAGTGTGTCCAATTACACGACTTTCCTATCTATTTAAAATATATATATATATATATATATATATATATATATATATATATATATATATATACAACTTTAGATGTGTCCATTAGAAAAAACAAACAATTGAATTAGATTCATTTTCCTAAAAACCAATCAGTGAAATCATTAGGGTACGATTTCTTGGATGAACCAAGCAATGTAAACGGGCAAGTGAACCACCATTAAAATCAGCTTATAAAAAACAATATACTGTAACTTTGCTAAAACTGGTCCGATTCAGATGATTTTTGACAATTTTGTCAGAAATTTAATGACCTTTCAAAAAATAGGCTTCAAAACAGACTCAGAAACGTTTAGATCCGTTGAAAACCGATAGGATGTATACGTGGTTAGTTAGCCCCCAAAACAATTTTCTTTTCTTTATAACTTTTTTTCATGAATTGTCTCGGGGATTCACTAAATATACGAAAATATTATTTTGGATTACTTAGAGGTTATGAACGAGTGCCGCGCGTCCTTCACGTTCTTTAGTTTTCTATTTAGATTTTGATTGAAAAGTTTCTCCATAACGGACTGCACACAGTGGTACCAAATGGACATGACACTTTTTACGTTCTTCTCTGGATTAAAACTACCAATACCCAATCAGGTCTAAGCTATCCAGGGCCAAATTTTCTTGTTGAATTGCACGTAGTTGAATTTAATTAAAGTATTGAAAAATATGTACAATAGAGGCTGAATTTGGCTAACCAATAATTTCAGGTTTCACTGAATTGTTATAAAATCTTTTATGTCCACTATAATAATTTTCCACTTCATTAAAGACAGACATATGCTTCGATTGAGCAAAAAAAAAAAATAACACATTTATTTTGCTCTTCGGAAACCATTTCACGTTGTAGGTAATTTGGGAAGTCCCATGGTAATTCTGTACATTTTCTCTACTGCAAATTTTTCGATTCCATCGGTTCTTCGAAAATATTTATTGAGATGTCTAAATCAATAATTAACAAAAAATAGTTGCCACCGTTGATTTGAGGCCTTTTGCAATTAATATTTGTCAACGTTCCTCAATACCTGTTACGCGGAAGTATACATGATCATAACTATTATGACCAGATTAACAATAAACGTTAATGTAGTTCTGTGACAAACGTTATATATCAAATAAAAAAAAAAAACGAAATATAAAAAATTAGTATGATCAAAAAATTAAGAACAATTGATGGACGAGAATTAACCGATAAGTGCCCACAAAAGCGTTTAAACAATAAGGTAAGATCAAATTATTTGATACTAAATTTTATGTTAAGTTCTGAATCCTGTTTTATGTACAAGTATTTAAAAAAATGAAAATATTATTATTGGCATTATCTGAAATTTATAATAAAAAATCTATCAGTTTTCGAGAAACTAGTTTTTCAGTAGAACGAACCAAATTTTAAATTTATCATGATGAAAAAAAAACATAAAGTATAATATTTTGTTTGACATATATATATAACATATTTAGAAGCTGAATAAAACAAGAATTTCTAATGCTCGAAAAAAAAATTGAATTTTATAATAAGAAATGTTACGTCATCTACCACAGTGCGATTCTTTTGTTTTTTACGATATATTATTTCTGTTGATATATTCATTGCTCACATAATAGTGTATATATAGTAGGGTTGCTATAAAACAAAGAAAGAAGGAAATCTGATGAAAAATACTGGAGTTAAAGAATTATGACCAATCCTTGAATCAATGACCAACAAATCCAGTTAGGGATCTCTCTCTGTACGGAAGGAAATTGTGAACTTCATATTCTAAGAACATTGATCTACTTTATTTTCGCTTAGTTCCATTATGAATACAGGGAATCCGGTTTCGAAATAGAATTTAGAGTCTGTGCAATGTCCAGAAATGCACCCGAACAGTATTCCTTGTTTTCTAGGGCTGAGGAAATATGATCAACAACTCGGAGTCCTTGTTGAACAGTAGAATGTTGGGAGCGAAAACCAAACTGATGGGAAGTATTATTTTGGGATTCTATAAGAGGTAGGATTCGTTTCACAAGGATCTTTTCAAAAATGTTTGAAAGGATTGGGAGTAGGCTAATTGGTCGATAGGATGTTGAGCTATTGGGAGGTTTGCCTGGTTTTGGGAAAAAGATAATAGTGGAGTGTTTCCATAACAGAGAGAAGTGGGTGGTGCGTAGGATACGGTTGTAGATATATGTAAGGAATATGACTGCTTTGGATGGAAGTTGTCGAAGGATTTGAGGGGTAAGGAGATATGTCCAGGAGCTTTACGGGGGTTAGTTTTTTTAATTGAAATTCCACATCGGAAGGATGAATAGCTTTTGAGGGCAAGGAAAGTGGGATTGGTGATGTAAGGAGTTCTTCTATTGTTACGGTGTGGGCAGGATGGGATTCCGGATGTGAAATAAATGTATTGGATAGGTGAATGGCGAACTCCTCAGCTTTATCTTCGTCAGAGTGAATATTAAAGAGGTTCTCAATGAATATTTAAGAAGTGCTGATTAGTTGGCTGAGTAACAGTGTTCATTTTGAACGAGGATAGTGGAATAATTATAAAGATTTTATCTATCCATAACAATTTGGAAAATAAAATAGTTATGCTAGACAAACAAAAATGCCAAACAAAAATTACAAATTAATATTCTTTTTTTTTTTTCTATATACAAACAAGTTTACCTTTCTTACCTTGCAATTTTATTATGCAAAATATATTATTACATTTCTCATAAAAATATTTTTAATCTGTAAATTTAAAAAGAAAAATGTTTTTAATAGTTTTCTAAATGTTATTTTTAACATGTTTTTCTCCAATTATTCTAAAACGGGCATCTCTCTATAGGGAACAATTTTTGATTCCCCATAAGTGTCGTCATCTTGTGAAGAGAGGTTCATTACAGTAACTAAAATGGGCTAGTATTAGTAACCATTTCGTCTTAATTTTTATTCACAAAAACGCATATTTTGTTTTGTTTTCATACCTTACTCCTTCACACCTCGCAAATAATTAATTTTTAGGGGCGGTTTGGTCGAGCGGACTAACGAGTGTGCACAGCACTGCGCGTTGCCCGGCAAAATTTTTGTTTTTGAGCTATACTGTTCACAACACACACACACAGACCATTTTGCGCCGGACTTGGTTGTTTGGACTCAAGGGACATAAACCTGTATTTTCGTTAAAACTCAGATTCAAAAAATTCCACGATCGCAATACTTTCACTTACTTATGAATGTAATATATATATATATTAATAAGTGAAAATAAAAACTGTGACCTTTCTCCTATATTTCTCTTTTCTTTAAATAGATTTCTTTTGGAACTTTGTTTTCCCACATACAAGGGAGGGGGTGCGACCCCTTGCTGGATCTCTTGTGCTCGTCAGGATAATAATTTGTTTTATATTACATTAGAAAATTCGTCTTTGAGGACGAATTCTCTCTATATTTCTCTTTTCTTTATATAGCTGCTTTTTGGATTTTTTTTTTTTCAACATCCAAGGGTGGATTCGCTAGTGTAAGCTTCTGACCTCTTTCAAGCAGCTCTTTGAAGTATTCTCTTCATCTGACTACTATATATTCGTTCCGCCAAATAATCTTTCCACCATTATCTTAGTTTTCTTTTCAGAGATTTTGGCGATTCTTTCCTCGCTCCTTTATGATTTTTTTTTACTTTTCGGTTCATGTTTGCATTTTCCCTATTTTGAGACCAAATACTACCGATTTTCGGTTAACTACCAGAACATTTAGTTTCAATTTTCCCATCTTTCTTTGTGCAGAGAGGATAAACCATTTATTATCCAAATTGTGTAATTGTTTATGATGTGGCGTAACAGTAAAAAAAAAAAAAAAAATGAAATTAAGTTTTTTTATATATGATTTTTACGGAATTATGATTATTTCAGAAAAGTACATACGATTAATTTAATGAACCTCTAAGAATCAGTAAATATTCGGCTTTTCCTGGCAACCTGATGAAAGATAATTTGATACGAAAAATTAGTTCGCGTCCCAATGCCGGAGGAGGGGAGGAAGGACTTTTAACACTCGGATTAATCCCCCGCCTTCACTTCCCGGACTGGGTAAACTCGTATAGCCTAAAAGTCGAGAAATGGGAGAACAAAAAAAAGTCCCGCGGGTCATGACTTGTGATGAGAAAAAAAAAGATTGTTCTACAAATGACAGTGAAGTTGTGAAATGACCTTCCTAAGATAAACAAATCGTGTAATAACAGTAGTTATAATCTTCAGTTTGAATTATAACATACACACACACATATTTATTTCGATTAAATAAAATAAAAATTATAACTCAACCTGGTTATTACTGTTAAGATTTTTTCCTTCAATTGGTTTGTCCTTCAAAACATTTTTTTGTTTCTTAATTAATTCTTCAAATTCTTTTCTTTCCTTCTCTAAAGCATCCATCATAGCTTTTCGATATTGTTCTTTTACAAATTCAATTTCATAAACAACAGATCGGGGAAAAAATTGCTTTGGAGCTGTAACAATTATAAAAAGCTAAGAAAGAAATACATAGATGCAAGATATAAACGAGATATATGATCGCATTAATAGTTAAATGTGCTGTTCTGATTTTAATTATTTTTATTTAACAACCAATGAAAGTATCCATTGGTAATCGTTTGTGTTTATTGTTAAACTATTTATGAAAACGTTTTTAAACACTGTCAGTTAGACCCTGACACTGACAGTGTTTCAGTTGGCGTTTTAATTATTACTTATTTATTTATTTAGAATTATAACAATCTATCACGTGGGTAATAGTATATAGTGATACATGAACACATATATACAGAAAATATAAAAAGAGTTTTAATAATAATGTGTAATATTTATGTTGTAACAATAACAATTTGTAAGGGATAATAACAGTATTGGTTGCAATTTCGAATAAATTTGCAACACGGAAGTACTTCCGTTTAGTTGAATAGTTTAGAGGCATCATTGGAACTTTCTGCAACGAATATAGTATTTTTCCATTTATTATTAAGAAAGAATAACCCCAAACATTAAATATCTAAAAGATATTGTGAATTACCAGGCAGTGGGAGTGGTTTGGATTGAGTAGCTAATTGAAATACATCACATGCAACTTTGTCAATTGGTCCAGCAAAAAATGGTTTGTTATCTAAAATCCGTTTCGCCATAATTTTCTTAGTCATTGGAGGTTCAGGAGAACTAGAAAGAAAAATTGCTTACACCAAGATTGGTAGTATAATAATTTCTTTTTCATATATTTAATATCCATTAACTTTTTATCTGTATTTTTTTTTATTAACCAAATTTACAACTGTAATTAATAATAAATACAACAAGTAAATATGAACAAGTAATATGACATGTACAACATGAGGAGAAACTACCCATTGGTAGCACTCCAATTATATTTCTATATTAGAAGGTCCCGAGGCCATCTTCTTTTCAGACGCCTCGGAGAGTTATCAGGAATGGAAGAGGAAGCAAGGTTGAAAACAAGAGGGTTCGGATGGTTCAGAAGTTTATTAAAGTCATTATGTATGTTTTAATTTGTAACAAAGTAGGGAGCATTAAGGATTTTACGAAGGATTTTGGATTGTAGGGATTGGATACGATAGGAATTTGATGGTTTAGTAGAGCCCCAAAGCTCGATCCCGATCTGTATTTTAATATATTTATATAATTTTTTTTTTACATTTCTAACTCTACTAGGAAAGTATAATGGTCAGGTCAGGTCAGGTTCAATTTGATTTTTTCAATAGATCTAACGCTAAAGAGATCCCTGATTAAAAAAAAAAAAATGATTTTCAACCATTGGTGTATACTTGTGTTGGTGTCTCTATACATTTACTTTTTGTTAGGGTTTCTTAAACAGCATTTAAGTGGATAAGAATAGAGCCAAAAATTTAAATTTCAGGATGAATAATGTTATCAAACCCCATCTTGCATCTTGCATCTTCTGTGTGAAAGAGGCCTAAGATGGAAATATAAGCTTGCTACAGTCTTCTTAAACCTGTTTAAATTATGTATTAAAAAAAAATCTATATAGTTCGTTTTGTTTTTAATTTAGCTTCTGTAATATTTTTAGATAATTATTTGTTTGTTTTCAAGATAGAATACTACATATTAACTGCTTACCAATCAAGTGCTGTCCTGAAGCTATTGGTTTTTCTAGCTGTAATCATCTCATATTTTCCAAGAACCCGTTTGATTTCCCCTGTTCCTCCATATTTACTTCGATGGACTCCATACGAATCATCTGTAAATATATTTATAATAAAATATACTAGTAATTCATCATAATATGTTCCTGTGACCTGCATTAACCGGCCCTTATTGATTTTATGAAGCTGTTGTTTTTATTTAAAATATAATAAACAAAGGTTATCTGTCCGACATTCTCTTTATTGTTCCAAATATTTCCAAATCTGCGAGCAAATATCTATGAATATGACCTACATAGATCTTTTAAATATCATATAGTCTGGGATCCCGTGGCAAAAAAGGTGTCATATTTCATACTAAGGTTAATCCTTATAAATTGGCCATATCTACACACCTAATGAGAAAAATGCACGTCTGCCAGTATATAGCCGTTGGAATACAAAATGGCGACTAGGTGAAGATAGATAGAGATCCTACATAAGTAGTAAATGTATAGAGAGGGCTTATAGATATATAAAGCTCCCAACCCTTTCAATTCATAGCATTTACAGTCTTAAGACATTAAATAATATCAGTTACCCAATATCCGTGGATTTTAATTTGAAAAATTGAATTTACGATTCAAAAAGTTTACTTTTTCTTATATCAGTGGAACTATACGTTCTATCTATAATAATGTCATATGTGATATTAAAGCTGACATAATTTTCAATATGGTTATATTAGTTTTTTTGCTATATTCTATGGTTTCCTTGATATCCATCCTCGTAATTTACTAACTTCGAAAAAAAAAAAAAGTTTTTGCATTGCATTTTTATCATTATTTGACTCCCCAACTCTTTGTCTTTTCATTTTACGAAAAAGTTGTGGGGAAGAAAGTTGTTTAATATTAGATTTCCTTTAAGAATATATATTATACTTTACATAAAACTAATATAACCATTGCCATTGTAAATTTTATCAGCTTTAATTTAACACTATAATAAGAACGCATAGTTTCACTTATATAAGCGAAAACCCGAAAATGTAAACATTTTGAAGCGTAAATTTAATTTTACTAGGGAAAGTATGCGTTCTTATGATAGCGTTAAATTAAAGCGGATAAAATTTAAAATCGTTGACTAGTTCACGTGAGTTTCGCACAGATTACGCGTGGTTCACAATTATTTCAGTCGCACTTATTCATGGAATCTCCAAAACAGCCGAATGTTGTCGTCTGCTGTTCAAATCATATTCAACATACGCACGTGAAAACGTATTTTTTTGGATATGCCAAAATTTTATAAATGGCTTGTTCGATATAGCTCAAAGTTGGGCAAAGGTAGTTAGTAGCAAAAGGTATTAATGAAAAAATAATGAATAGTATAATTAAAATAATAGTATCAATTTTATTTATTTCTGTTCTCTAATTTCTCCTATATATGAGCAAACGAGTTTTCATTGACACGTCCATATTTCTAAAACTGCATGCTCATATTTGGAGAGAAGTAAAGGATTGATAAACAGATAATCAAGTATGTATGAATTTTATCAAATTATATCCACTACTTCCAAAAAAATACTTCCGCTTTCAGGCTAGGAAATGTATAATTTGACACGCCTATACTTTGAAACGACTCATTCGATTTGACCCAAACTTGCAGAAAATTTGAAGAATAGTATAAAAATTACCTAGTATCAATTTAATTTGAATTCCATTTAATAATTAAAATTAATATAAATAAATACTAACAATATAATGACTGTGAAATATGTAAGGCATTGATCATATGGAGTTGGAGTTAGATTAATACAATATTTTTATGGGGTTATAAAATTTTAAGTTATGATCAAAAATTTAATTTATATTGTATTGTTTGGTCGATTCCAAACCCTACTGGCATGACATTTATTGCCGTTACTTATGTTTCGTGTAATTTAAATTATATTTAAATTAATTTTTACATCGAATATGTAAAAAAAATCTGGTACTATTTCACACGAGTTTTACGGATTACGAGTGGTACAATCACTTCGGTCACACTTGTTTATGGAATGCCGAAAACAGCCTAATATTTCCGTATTTTATGGTGTCACTATTGTCCCCGCCTCACACAGGCGGATCTACGGGGGGGGGGACTTTTGGCTGAAGCCCCCCCAAAATGGTAAAGTGTAACCATGATTTACAGAAACAAATATTAAATACTATCTCTTATAGTATTCTTGTTCGTGTAATTATATTTAATAAGACTTCAAGAACAACTTAAACACTATTTCATATAGGTAGTTAATTTGTTTAATTTTTTTCAAATTAATTATCGTTTTATGTATATGAAAAAAAATCTTTCGGGCTGACCCTCCCCCCAAATTAAATTCTGGATCCGCTAGTGCCGCCTCACAATCCCTTTTCATAAAAAACCAGCGTATTCCCATCATAGAACTTCTTCATTAATAATTCTTCTTCTGCGTTCTTCCTTATATGAAGTAGTCTTCCTCAGCTCTTCCAGGCTTCCATATAGCTTCCTTTCCAATTCAGCCGGAGAGGACCAGATCACCTTCCTTTGCTGGAAGTAGACCATGCACGTTTGTAGGATATGTTCCACATTCTGTACACCCTCACCGCACTCGCAGAGGGGACTAAAGCCAATTTTTAACTTACTGAAGAGGTGAGCTTTGAGCCTGTTGTGTCCAGTTCGTATGCGAAAGATCGAGAGATCTCGTCGAGTTAATCCATAGATCGCATCTCTGGGGTCGTGAAGTGGATGATGATCTACTCCAAAGGGCGATATCGTCTAGCGAACAAGAATGCTTTGACATTATTTGGCAAGTCTTCAATAATATCGTTTATAAATATTAGGAAAAGCAGAGAGGAAAATACTCCTCCCTGAGGCACCCCGCTTTCAAATTTCCTTGTCCGGCTTCTTGTATTAACTGAGATAACTCTGGCTTTCCGATCCTTCACATTGTTATTAAGGCATATGAGGGCTTTTCCATTGATACCAATGTTAGCAGCTTTTAAGATTAAGCCTTCAGTCCATACCTTATCGAATGCTTCTTCTGGGTCAATCCAGACTGCCAACGTGTGTTCCTGTTTTTCAAATCCGTCCTCTATTTTTTGGACGATTTTAGGCTACTTGATCCTCAGTAGAGCGAAATCTGCGGAAGCCTGCCTGTTCAGGAACTATGAATTCATTTTTTTCAAGTAGCCAGATAAGCCGGTTGTTCACGAGTCTCTCCAACGTAACTTCCCCATGCAGCTAAGAAGAGTGATGGGTCTAAAGCTGTTAGGGTCAGTTTTCCTTTTTCCTTCTTTCAATAATGGGATGATCATTCCTTCCTTCCAAATTTCAGGTACTTTTCCTATCATCCAGCTAGTATTGTAGAGCTTGAGAAGACGCCTCTTTTTTCGAAATCCCAGATGGATGAGAAGCTCGTCAATCCTGGCCCACTCTTCAGTTTCAGGCAACTGATAAAGTTGTATAGTTCTTGTATTGTGAATGGTTGGTCCAGTTCCTCTTTCCTAGATTTTGCAGCACGTAGGACGTCTTTCACTTTCTTCTTCACTTGTTTTTTTCTAGCAGGGCTTATATTGGTTTTTCCACTCAGGCGTATATGATCAATTAAAATTTCTCCGCCTGTTTGTTCGGCAATTAGTTTTCCATTTATTTCCACAACCAATGGCTCGTGAGTATTTGCGTCACCAGATAGTGTTATCGCCAGTTTCCAAAGTTTTCTTCCCTCCCTGTCCATGTTGAACTCCTCTATTGTCTCGCGCCAGGCCTTCTTTTTAGATTTTACTGTCTCATATCGCAGTTTTGCAATTGCCTCCTTTAGTTTTATGTTATTTTGAGATGAAGGGCATCTCTCTGCCTTATACAGTATTGTAATTACGATACATTGGTTTCTAGTTTATCTAGTTCCTCCGTTCAATATGGCTTGTACTGCTTTCTACAACCTCTAGGTATACCTTTCTTTGCTGCGTGTAATAGGGCTGTGGCAAAGCGTTATAATTTATTAACGAATTATATATTTACTAATTTGTTAATTAATAATTTGGTACTAGCTAATATCAGTTAGCTCGACAACACATTCGACATTCGACAGACGGCAACATTAGGCTGTTTCGGCATTCCATGACCAAGTGTGACCGAAGTGATTGTGAACCACTTGTAATCATTGCGAAACTCATGTGAACTAGTACCTGTTTTATTAATTACAATTTATTAAAAACGAAGTAAGCTAAGGAAGAATTAGAAAAATCGTAGATCATATGCAATTACACTTGCTGTGGTCTGTTGTCCCTTGTTCGAAAGTTCTTAACCCCGTCGATATTTGCTTCCCCCAAAATTTCAAAAACCCGTCAAAATATTTCCCTCCCCCCATCAAAAAATTTGTTGAGACCCTGATGAATTTTGATAAAAACCCCTTCTGGGCACCACTGAAGAGTACACTGGAATGAAATAAATGCATACAGATGAGTATGCACGCACAGGTAAACTAGCCCTATATATTTAAAAAATCTGGTGCGCGCAACTCACAACTTTCACTTACCGCTCAACTTTAACTAGAAATTTTTTAATTGTATTTTTAACTGAGCTAAAGCTAAAATATTACAGCTAAAAAATCGTAAATACCATTAAAATAACAACAGCCCTGTTTATTATATCACCGGTTGATTATGGATTGTATGATCCGTTGTTTACTGATTGTACGACTATTAGTTATTAAACTGTTATTTTCCATAGCAAAGTTTACTAAAACGGAATTAAGAGATTTGCATTGTGTGTTATAGACAGGTCAAAAGTTGTCACACTGATTGCGATTGGATTCTGTTGGAATATCACAAAGGGAAAATTTATCAAATTATTCACTAATTTAATTTTCTAAAAGCTTACGTAATGATTTTCGGGATAAACGGACGATAGAAACCCAATTATTTAAATATAATATCAGATCTAGAGTTATTAAACTACAGTAAATAAATTTAAGGTTATATACGTATCCACGTAATATTTTTATTTTTCACTTCTTTCACACAAGTAAAATTAAATAGTATTTTAAACAATGGCATTAGTTTGATTCGGTGTATTTTAAATACTGCTGTTTTTGTCAAAC